ATCTTTTGCATGTAGATTTAAACCTATATTTTCTTGCAGGATTGGAGGGGAACTGGTAGCTAGTATCCTATATTCTGTTCTTGATTTTTGACCTCGTTGGTTGTGTGATCTTAGAAGTGAGTTAGTTCCTCTGTTTTTGTTCCTCATTAGTAAAATGTGTGTCATGATTATTTACCTGTTTCATAAATGTGGGATTTGACCGTAATAATGAGGAAATTAGAGAAGGAAGGCTCAATTGCTCTGTCTCAGAAGGACACTGACTAGCTTGCTGCATTTGACTTAAATGTAAAAATTGTTCTTGGAATTTCATCATCATTAAAAGCGATTGAGCTTACAGGGGAGATCAGTAATTTGAGTTGCTGGCAGCAGGAGAATTTAGTGAGAAATTATTCTCATCACTCTAATTTGACAGATTTCCTGTAAGGAACTGTGGCAGCATTGTTGCAGTTAAGGCTGAGAATGTACGTTAGCTAGAACCCAGGAACACTTTCTGTTTTTCACATGAAAAAAACTAAAATAGAAGTATTTAAAAGCTAAGATTAAAGTGGTGAAATAGAAGGGTCTGCGACCACTTGTTATTACTTTCTGCATCCTTAACTTTGCCAAGGTTTGAGGAGAAGTCAGAGTCCTTCCCGAGTCACTTCTGCAGCATTCTGTCAGAGAGAATTGTGTGCAAATGATCTCAAAGGAGATTAGGAATGTGCAAAATTTAAACTTGCTTATCATGGCAAATATAGGTGGTGTAGCAAATGAACTAACCGAAACATAGCACAGGACAGCACAGCCCTCAACAGCTGGGCTGAAGCATAGTGTTTAAGGCTGCTACAGCGTATGAGGTCATGAACTTGATATGTGAAATTGTACAAATAGGCACATACTTAGTGAAGAGAGTATTTAAAGAAATGGAATAATGGTGGGTGGTTATTAAACATACAGGCAAAAAGTTTTAAAGGGAGATAAACTGGGACAAGATGGTTGCAACGGATAGGGATGTCTAAATGATTCTGCAGAACCTACTTTGGGTTGAGTAAAATCTGCTAATGGGTGCTCAGGGGTGGTACCAGCCTAGTGAGTGGCTCTGAGGAGTGCAGGGCACAGGCACTCAGATATCTCTGCTTTGAAACGACTTTATTAATTTGAGAACAGCATCCTGGATGCAGGCAGAGACTCCTCCTTAGTCCTGTTGTGTACTTAAGTAAGTCCTTCAGGAGACTTTGCCTAAATCTAGCCCACATGTGTTTTATATGTGTTTATGATTTTCTTTAACGCTGTAGAGCAGATATGCTGGAGAAGTTTTAGCTAAAAATGCTAACTCTAACTTCTCTCAGTAAGGTGCCATAGGTTACTCTGCTTATGTTTTTTTCATTCCAGAAAATACTGCAGAAGTGCCCATTGGGTATATGTGTATCTAATTTGACATTCTTTTTAGGTCTAGAAGAGAAAGCCTTGCAACATGAAAAATTCCTTAGAAATCTGAAAATACTTACAGTATTAAAGGTGGTGACATACAATTCATATTCATCTGAAGAAAGGTCGAGAGATGTTCTTACATGCCAGAAGTTCCTGGAAGTGAAAACGATTGATGAAGTTGCGTGCCAAATCTTAAGAGTTATTAAAACAAAATATACTGATGATAGGCTCTGCTTTTTCTGTGTGTAGTGTAAAAGCAATGCAAGATATCATAACAGTTCAGTGTGTTTGGAGGCAAGACACAGTATCTTCTGGGAATTAACGGTATCAGAACTGGCTCTGTGCTTTATTCAAAGGTAAGAAATGGTCAGGGGTGTAGTGCTGCAAAGCACGCTTAAGCCTGGAAGTGTGTTGCGATTTTACTGCGCTACTGCAGGCTGACTCTTGTGCTGAAATTAAAGTAAAACCAAAAAAGCCCCCAAAGCTGGTAATTGGCTAGGATGATGATAATGTGAGCTCATCCCTCAGCCTCAGGGAGGGAAGCCTGCTTAGTCATAGAGCCAGCAGTGCTCAGCCAATGAAGCTGCCAAGTGTGAGCTTTCCTGGAACACAGTCATGCTGCAGCTTGAACATCTATCATTTCATCTTAAACGATGTACTATTATTATTAGGATGACCTACAAGATATTTTTCTGCAGTTTTTCTGTATAGAAAGAAATTCTAAAAAGCTAATTTTGTGATGTTTTCTTTTACCATCTAATACCACCAAATCCTCTTTTTTTTCTTGGTGATCTCTTAGTTAGGATTCATTTACTTTTGCATGCAGTTGGGAGAGCTGGGATGTTCAATAAGCGTGTTTTGTTCAAAGTACCTTAAATATCTTTCCTCCCCAGTAATGTCATTTTCATTATCCTGGTTTTTGTGCTGTTGTAACTTCAGTTGTTTTTCAATCACTACAGTCTTCTCAAGTGACAAGATAACTTCCCTAAGAGGCATATAATATTTTTTAGGACTCCCTTTATGGAACACACAAGTACATATTCCTTTCCCTCCTTTAGGTTATCTCTGAACTTACTTTTTTTGTAAACTTTGCATCTTAATACTTCTGTTACATCTCTTTCCTAGATAGGTGCAGTTCTAAACTGGTCTGAGTTAGGCTTTGCAATGCTGGTGGCTTCTTATGTAGTAATGGAAAAAACAGAGCCAAAGTCCACACAGGTGGAGGTTTGGAGAGCTGTGCTCATGCAATGCTTTCTCACTAACCTGAGAGTCCTCTTTCTAAAGGTCTTCTGGATACTTGTGTGTGTGGTAGTTGCAAATCTCGGCCACCACCATTAAGAACAGCACCAGCTGTTTTTTTGGTTTTTTCTTTTTTTTCCTTTTTCTTTTTTAGAATGGTTAAAAACAAGGACCCTTGAAGTTGTATGCCAGCTTTTGGGCAGTCATCTTTGCGTTCTTCCTCAAAGTGTAGAAAATCTACAGCAGAGGTTGTCTGGCAGGTTTAAATTTGATCTAGTGGTAGTATCTTCTGATACACAGAAAAACTTGCATTCTTTTTATCAGGATAATGTGACTGATCAATACAAAAACACACAGAAGCATCAGTGGAAGGAGAACTTTACAAGGTTGTCTAGTTTGGAGAGAAAAATAGTTTGTGATGATTTCAGAAAGTAAGATAGTGTCAGAAACCATTGTTAGTAGTATTACCTCAGGTATTGTGGTTTAGCTGTTAGCTCTGTTACATTTGTAGCAGTGCTGCAAAAAGCAAGGAGAGAGAATAACATTAATGCTTCTGAGGGGCATATAGCAACCTTTCCACCTCTACATTTTTGCTACCGGGGATGCCGTTTCCTGCTGTAGGATGTTTTTTCCTCTCCTAATGAAGTTTTGAAATAGGAAAAACTTACTTTATGGAACCCTCGTTTGTGTACTAGTTGCAGTTTAGGGAGAATTTTCCATCTCACGTGTCCGTAATTTCTCCTAGAGTTATTTTCGTCCTGTTGAAAGAGGACTGGAAAATGAGCTGAGACGTTGTGCTTAGAGGAGGGAGGAACGCCCTGGCTCCGTGATACGGGGTGGCAGAGGTCCACGGTTTGTAGCCAGGGCAAAAGGGGAGGGAGCGTGGGGGGAACGGCTGTGTAACAGCCTGAGGAAGTGAGTCACTTCGCTCTGAAACACAGGCCCATGGTTCCAGTAGCACTGAAGCCAAGCTTGGCCTCTGAGGTGGAAGTTGCGTAAGTTAATTTAAACTCTTTGTCTTTTCCTCCTCATCATGCTCCCAACCCCACCCCAGAACTAAATCTGCACTGTAGCCGTATCTGTTTAGAGTAAACTCAGGTTACAGGACTTCAGCGTGCTGTATGCTTTTGTTTTATTATTTTTCATTTTATAGAGAAAGAGAAATGGATTGCAGGTTTCGCTGGAGGGAATGTGTGTGTTAGTCTTACCGGCTCCACTCAAGAGAAACTTGATTTTATAGCAGAAGGAATGCAATAAGAATAGTTTTTTAACAATTTATTAAAATCTTTCTGAAATATATTGGCAGTGTGATTTGAAGTGGAACAGAGTGCATACTGAAAAGAGCTAGTAACAGAGACTTGCACTTAATTACTTGAGTGTTAGTACTTTAAGGATTTAATTAAATTTAAAACTAAACTTCTTAAAAGGTTTTAGGTGTCCTACTAGAAATGCTAGTGTATGTGTTAACACATTAGACCTTAATCCTGCAAACTAGGCTTCTAAAGCCTAAGTTTGTGGATAGCTTTTTTCTGTGGAAGAGGAGGGTAGAACTGTCCTAGACTGCATGTTTGGGAAAGGCTTTCTCCCGTTATGTCTGTAGCTTTACACTAACAGATACTTGCTGGTGTCCGGGAGCAGCTGTAACAATCTGCCTGAACTACTTTTCCGTGAGTGTGACCTGAGCAGGAGCAGTTGCTTTCAGCTGTTGAAGAAAGCATCTGAGAGGGCAACAGGTTGAGCAGGCCCTGTCTTCGGTGCTTGGATGCTCGGTGGGCATTTCTTAATTGGAAAGCAACTGTAACGATTGGGGGAGGGGGAGTGAATGATGGGCCGCCGCACGATCTTTTCCTTCAAAACACTGAACTGAGCATCTTGCTGCGTGTTTGGCTGCAGCCTTCGTGTACATGTGTGTGTTTTAAATGTCTTTGGGAAATGTGGCCTGACATGTTATTTTTCTTTTGGCAAGTCATGAGGGTGTTTTTGGTTTGTGTTTTTGAGTTCAGATTAAAAACAGATTATTCTGGCTACAGGAAGACATAGAAGTAATTGGCCAGATGAGAGGGAGTTTAAGAGAAAAACCTTCAGGATGAGCTTGAGTGATTAGTCAGAAGCCTGTGTGCAATTGGGAGTTGCATCATGCAAACACAGTGCGATACCCGTTTTGTAAAACTAAGTTGTTTTGTTTTACATTCTTCTAGCAGGTCAGATCTACTATTTCTTACACGTATTATCCTGATCTTCATTTCCGTGGGAAATGGGACAGACATACACGTTGTTGCTTATCGCGTGAGGGTTTATATGCCAGTTATGTCTGTTGATGATTCATTGCAATTGCTTCTCTATTTCAGGACCTGTAACTAAGTGGACCCTACTGACCTCTGAACCACAAAGGATAAGAGTGAAAAGAAGTGGGAGAAGCACACGAAGAAAAAGGAAGTGGATGCACTTTCATCTGGACTTCTTTCCTGCCCTTTATTACTAAAACTGAATGGAACAGAGAGACTTCCGTGCCTTTCCTCCCCCAGCCTCAGGGATGGGTGGATTGTAAATACAGTGTGTGTAGCTGGGAGAACAGACTGAACCATGAATCTTCAGGCTCAGCAAAAATCTTCAAGCAAAAGGACTGGGAAACGAATTGCCTATTTTAATGAGCAGGAAATAGCTGTGTCATCAAAAGAACCACAGCAGCAGCTTAAGGAAGGACAGTACTATGGCCATGGAGGGAATATACCGGTCTCCCAGACTGTGGAGATTTCTCACGCAGGAGGATTAACAAATGCACCCAACAATGTTGCTTTGATGAACTCCGTTTACAGTCAAGATAGGGGAGAATCAATGATGATGTCCCAGACGGTAACAGCTGTCAAATGGCAGAATTCACTAATGGGAAACCGGTTGCCAGAGAGGGGCGACAGCCACTGGCAGGCTCCCCCTTCCCTGTGGGACCACAGGATGGGTTTTTGGGGCGAACCAA